TGTTATAATCTTATCCCACAGGTGTTTTACTCTAAAATTAATGAATATTGTATATATCAGTTCAAATATGCCCCTTTACAACACATGTGTAAACTTCATCATTTACATACACAGTTTGAACTTTTACTCAGACAAAGCTCAGTATTTATTTAAAGAACCGTAAAATTAACAAATTAAGACTAATTCTATAACAAGTTAGCTGTGATCTCAGAGGCAGATTACGAACAATGTTTTTTTATGGATCGTTTCAACTGTTGTTATCGTGATACCGTGGATGTATTTATTTTAAGTGCGAATTCTTGAATATTTGTTCTCAAGAATTGTTTATGAATACTGTACTATGTATTCTAATTGCACTTTTGAATACGTACCATACATTTTAAGATTGACTATATGTGAAAACTTGACTGGGCTTTGGATTTCTACTACAATGCTAAAAACAAATGCAAGAATCAAATTGGAAATGATTTGTGGGGTTATAGGGTTATATGTAGGTATCGCAATGCATTCCCTAGCTGGGCCCATGTGTGATATGTATAGTAACGCAGGAGAACGACTCTAACATGCATAATGTACAGGTCAAAAGATCAAGTTTGTTTGTTTGTTTATTTATTCATTTCAGGCATTTCACATTAGTTGATTTTGCATGATATGTGTAATAGTTTCCTTCTGCATATCAAATGGGGTGACTTACTTCTTACAACTGGAAAGAGTCATTCAGATCATCCATCATAATTGGATGATCTGTTCAGAACAATGTAGCCAGCCTCATGGCCAGTGTTTTTAATCATTTTTTTCTTTTTCATCATGAATAAATCAGACTTACACGTTTACCTTATGTTTTAGGACACAAATTAAAGATCAAGATGGAACTCCAAAGTCTAATCTTACATATGCTTACGTAGGGATGAGTTTTTACCAAGTGTATCCAACTTTACAGAAGCAGTACAAAAAGAAGGAGATTGTAGAGCACAACAAATCAATCCAATTCAGCAGATTTATGGGCTGTATCAACAAAACCGTGTAGAAAAAGATATTAATTTGTCGATGCTCGTTTCTGCCGACTTGGGAAGTTACGGCTTTTGAAAGCAACAAGCAACTCTATGTCCTCGGTCTCGCTCCTCTTTGCGGCGCTGTCAACAGATGGTCGACAAAATATGGTCAGTTGAAATATTGCAAGTGTGCTCCAACATTTGGCCGATCTAACTCTCGTCCCAGTTGCCACTAAACTATAAAAGAAGATGCCATAACAGCACACGGAGTAAGATGTCATTCCACCATATCCAATTTAAACAACTAGACCCGCTCGGCTTTGGGACACAACCACTACAAGGGAGTTGAAATGGGAACGCCACTCAAAATGTCTTCAGTGTTTATCAGGGCTGTCTGTTTGCCCGCAGCACCACGAGGAGCGCACACTGACACAATTATAGAGACATGTCCTTAGAAGTCAAGAAGGACAACATGCCACATAATACCCATGATGCATGCAGTAACATAATAAACCTAATCTATGGTAATGATTGCATTGAGCTGGAGCTGTGGTTTTACATAATCAGATGCTAAACACGTTTGAGAAGAAATGTCAAGTAGTTACCCTGATCAACATGTCACTGCAGATAAGAAGAGCTCATGTGAATGTATTCAGCTAAAGTAAAGTGAAGTAGATTAGAGGGTGGACCTTTTATTGTAAAGGTTGTTCACTATATTATTTTCTCTCTGTTTCACAACTCTGCTGGCGTCGCAGCTTCCCATTCATCTCACAACCTCATCTGAGTCCATTGATAAATATATAAGTGATGTCGTTTCAGGGGTGTAACAAATGAATAGATGAATTGCAATTTGAACCTTCCATAGACTTAAACATGTTGAGAAGAGGTTAAATGACTCTTTTTTTTTGTATTAAAAAAAAAATGAAAGTGTATCAAGTCATCTCTATTCAGATGTTTTCTACCTGCATCACTTGAGCTTTGTTTCGGTCAAATGTAGAGCTGAAACAACTAATCGATTAATCGACGACTAATCGATTATTGAAATAGTCGACAACTATTTTAGTAATCGATTAATCGTTTTCTGGTTCACACGGACTCAAACAGAGCAAAAATGACATGAAAATGTAGTATTTTTGATTAAACCGACTTTGTTTTTATAATTTCATGAATATCTGTCTGTCTCATCCAATCAGATAGCAGAATTAGCACAAAGAGCCTGTTACAAACATTTACTTTAAGTTTATGCCATCAATACGTTCTCAAGTGTTGCCACTTTAGCTTTTTGTGATGAAAAAATAATTTTTTTCTACACAATTCACAGCCAAGCGATTACTCGATTAATCGTAAAAATAATCGATAGATTAATCGATTACAAAATAATCGTTAGTTGCAGCTCTAGTCAAATGTAATAAAAGAAATCCCATATTCACTGAGCTTATATCAACATTTTTGGGTTTCAGACTGAATATATAGACACACAAATATGTTGCTTGTGATCATAAATCATTTTATAGCGACAGAATGAATGCTATGAAGATGTTATTGCTCCTCTAATAGCTTCAGGTTGTATGATTGTGCTGTATCTGCAGAGCAGCAACACAAACAGGTGTCCTCCTTCCTTCGCGAAACTCATTAAGTGTCCAACCCAAACAACATGCAGAATGTGGATCGAGGTTGTTAAGTTGGTTCAACACCTGTCACTGCTGCACCACTTTTAGTTTCACAGCCTCAGCCAGGCTCTGTAAATATTACAGACTTCAAACTCTCAGCACAATGCTGTTGTTGCCAGTTGGCCACCCACCCAGGGCCACCCAGATCAGCCAGCAGTGTGATAGCCACTGCTGCCCAAGTCGTGCTGTAGAATTTGTTTGCGGAAAAAAAAAAAAGTTACACGTTCTTGTGGTCTAAGGGCAATTCAACTGACTAACAATTTAAAATAAAATAAAAATAGAAATATCTGCATAATAAATCATCTTGATTTCTTTTCCGCTTAGAATAAAATGAGACTAAATCCCATTCTAATACCCGAACATTCAATCAACAACCAAAACTTTCACTTTTCCTTCAAGACGCTTTCATGATGGTGCAATGTTTAACAGACATGAATCTGTCTCACAGCCCATAAAGAGGTGTAGAGGCTGTGTTTTGCCCAAAGACACAAATAGGATTCAAAGTGGAAGGCAGAGATCAAACCTATTGTCTATAGTCAAATGTCTCCTCTAAGCTACTGGCTAGTGCCCCCTTGTGGAAAATAAAAAGTCTTCCTCTGAAAACCCATTTAAAGAAACCTTTAGAGTCATTTATTTTTATCTTCACCAAAAGTCCATTACTCAAGGACCTGCGTTTGGGTGTGATTTTTGCACAGAAGCTCACACTGCACACCAGCGAAGTGTGACGCCCTCCACACACAGACACAGAGCTCCTGTAAAAAAAGCCCTCTCGTCTAATTAAGCCTTCTTTATCTGCTAAATGAAGTGAAGATGAAAATGATTCGCTCCGGATCCGCGCACCTGTCCCTGATCACCGGCACTCGGGCGCCCATTACGCCAATAACACGGCTGTTTAGGCTTGGATCACACCGAGGCCCTTTATGGTGCAGTAAATAGCCCTTTGGAAAAGTCTCAGTGGTGCTGCAAAGACAGACTTCTTTTGTGTTTCTATTCATCATGGACACTGGAGTAAATGGCACCGGGAAGATGCTTATGAGAAAACCTTACTCAAGTACTGGACAAGGTGGTCACAGCATATGTTATACACTGTTGTTGTTTGTGTGTAAATGTTCATGGGTGGATTTGAGAAAAAAAAAAAAGATGAGTGTGAAACTACAGAGTTGTTGACATCAGGTTATACTGTCTGAGTCATAGATCAAAATCACATAAGTCCCCCACCCATGCTCACACAGTCCTATCAGTACTGTGGACAGAGGCTATATGTATCATAGAAAAAAAGAAAATTACAATTGTTATCTTTTTATAATACAAAATGATAAATAGGAAACTGTTATCCCTGTAATTCTAACTCAAGTCTGGACATAAATAAAGAGAGATTTTAAAAGAGAATAAGAAAAAATGGATACAAATCTTACCCAAAACCCTAAAACATAATAATAAAAGAACGGGAGGTGCTACTGCCACTTGTACTTCTACAAACATGAGCCTTTGCACTTTTCATGGACAAAAGTATACTTTAACATGAATTGGAAATCAGTGAGGACTTCTGATGATTTGACATGATGTTCATTGTAGGAACAGCTGATACCAGGATTAAAAATTAACAATGTTCCAGATAAGGAGAAATCCTGGTTATAGACGTGTTGTAATCAGGGGCAGTTCCAACAGTAATGCCACATCTTCATAATAGTCTATGTATCGCTCACCATGGGACACAGCACTGCGCAGTATTGGCCATGTACAGATTCTATCCTTTACTGCTCACATGATTTATACTCTTATCCGATTTGCAGTGTACAGTTCCTAATGGTCTTTTTTGAATTATTACAACTAAACATAGCTTTCAAGATTATTGAAAGCTAAGTGTACCACTTATCTGAAAAATAAACCATTTTCTGAATGTAGGGCAAACCGTGACAGTAAACCCGAAGCGCGTCTCTGGAGATTTGACATGTGTCTGTCACTGTGCTTACGAAGTTTTAAGTCCGGAGGAAACACTGACAAATATCCAGGGACGCGAACGGGCTTTGTGTGAGCAACAATAGAAAATGCATCTTTACGCACGCGTCTGGTCAACTCCTGGATATCTGCTCAGTGCTGACTGACGTGTTCTATCGGAAAAGTTTAGGTGTGAAAAAGGCGATCTACACTTGGTGCTGTCGGATTTGCACATGACATTTACCTAAAACTTCACGTGGACTCACAGAATGAAATACTATTGCTCAGGGTGTATTACTCGCCACTGATTGCTTTACGGTTGGTCCTCTTAAACTTAATAACACAGACAAAGCACTGTATAACATGCTCAGCCTGTTAGTTTTGCTGTGACCTGTCTTACCTGGCAAAGACAGAGCGAACAGCAGCGACCAGAGAGCCATGGTGCTCGTGTTGGGACAGCTGGGAACCGTATCCACACGCCGCTGTGCGCCCAAAGGAGAGACAGTAACTCCGGCTACATTCGCCAACACAAGCCTGTGATAACGTCCTTCCACGTGATTTCTGCTCCCACAAGCGATTGTAAAGTCCGACAAGTTAAAACAAATCCAAGATGTAGACTGGCGAGCGCACGGGGATCGGTCACTTAATGTCTGTGCCAAAATGGCACTACGGCGCACGGGGAAAACACGGAGAGAGGAGTTGGAGATGTCACTCGCTCTTGCATCCGTGCAGTATGCTGAGCATGTGGAGCATGTGGAGGATTTCGAGGATGTGGAGGATGTGGGCACTCATGGAAAAGCTGGAGGTCCCACTTCAGATCCACGCGGTGCGCAGTGCGCGGCTCATGCTGCGGACAGACGGCGCTATTAACTGGTGATATCCCTCCTCCTTTGCCTCCTCTTTAGATGAGCATCTACTCCTGCATCCACGGGGACAGTGGCCCACAGGGTGCACGGATCAGCCCACGGTGAGGTCACCCCCGCTCAGACATGACGCAACTACTCGCTTTGCCGTATCAAAACCACGTTCTTACTGTCAGCATATATACATCCTTTCCTGATCACTGAAAGTTAGCCCCAGACAAGAACTGCAACTATGTCATGCAATTTTAAAACTCAACCGTGGGTGAGATACGTGGGAAGCCACCACAAACGTGTAATATTTGGTTAAATTTGGTTGTTTTTCTTTTTTTTGCAATTTTTATAGCTTAAATTTAAAATGTAATTACTAAGCCAAAAATGTAATACATCTTGCTACATAGATAGACAGGGAGAAGGGCAATAGGAATGACTGTATGCAGATTGTGTTGCCAGTGGACACATTATGACACAGCATTATTGCTACAAGTGAATGACACGTGTTCATTGTACAAATCACTTCCCCAACACAAACAAGTAAATACTGGAAGTTTACACGAGACGTGTAGGACTTTTTTCACGCGTCTAAAGTTTAGAAAAATACATGCTGTCATTTTTCAAACTAAAATGATGTACATTTACAAAGTTTGTGGGTATTGGTAGAATTGCCCTTAAATCCAAATTTTAAGGGCACAAGATTCTCACAATGGTCGTCTGGAATTCTGACCCCTTCCGACTTTTGAGTTCTGCCCATAAATGTTGTATGTGATCGAGGTCATGACTGGTGTTTTGATGTTGCTTGATTATTTCCAGGCAATTCTATGAAGTGCACCAGTTTCTCCAGCAGAAAAGTAGCCCCACACATCAGACTGCAACAATGAAGATGTTTGTCCTGCATGTGTGCTTATAATTATAATCTGACATTTTCAGGTTTTAATTGGAGTAACGTAATGTTCCTTGTAGAGCAGTTGATTAGTGGCCTGGCTCTCCCCAGACCCTTGTAGTTTCGCCATGCTCCACCAGAGGCGTTTCTCTTCACGCACAAGGGTCTGGGGATCAAGTCAAGCCCCGGCGATCCAAGATGGCGCCGTATTCAAATGAATGGTTTGTGCTCAGTGGCGCATGTGCTGGCACGGTCGCTGACATATTAGTGGAACTCGCCATATCAGGTTCTACGCAGTGGATGATCTCCCATGATGCGTTGCGCCAAATACGCGTGTGTGGCTCTCATGGCTCTCATGGGGCCATGTGCACAGAGGGGCTCTGCCGCGCTCTGACCAATCAGAGCTGCTGATCAGAGCACTGGTAGAGCGAGAGCCAGACGAGCAGAGTTTGTGGCACTAAAGTGTGGATTTAAAGAAAACCGAAGGATTTAAGAAGAAAAAAAGTTCAGGATGACAAGGGACACTAAAATCCCCATAAAATCCAATCTTTATGAAAGCTGTAGGTTCTCTGTCAGCTGACGTCGAGCTGTTTTAATTAGTTCTATGGGGATAATTTCTGGGTAGCCCACGTGAATTTAGTCTGGTTTAGTCTGCAGTACCGCGAGAATCCCCCGAGCACATGGATTCTTCAGCTACAAGCTAGTAATACCCTATCCAGTTATTATAATAGGTCCATGGATCAAGCCCATACCAAACTCCTTCAGCAGCGTGTCTCACGCATGGATCTTTTATAATAACTGGATAGGGTATTACTAGCTTGGAGCTGAATAGATTCTCGCGGTACTGCAGACTAGACCAGACTAAATTCACGTGGGCTACCCAGAAATTTTCCTCATACAACTCAATGTAAATTAAAACAACGTGACCTCAGCTGACAGAGAACCTACAGCTTTAATAAAGGTCGGATTTTGTGGGGATTTTAGTGTCCCTTGTCATCCTGAACTTTTTTTATTCTGAAATCCACACTTTAGTGCCACAAACTAACTCCCGCTCTGATGAACTGCTCTGATTGGTCAGAGCGCGGCCAAGCCCCTCTGTGCACGTGTGTGAGACCCCGTGTGAGACCCACACACGCGTGTTTGGCGCAACGCATTATGGGAGATCATCCACTGCGTAGAACCGGGAGGACCAGACGATGCCCAAATACAGGCGAGTTTCCCATAGATCTTTGCGAGTTTCAGGCGACTTCCGCTAATCTTTCAGCCCCCATGCCGTCACAAAGCGCCACTGAGCACAACCATTCATTTGAATAGGGCGCCATCTTGGATTGCCGGGGCGGACATAGAGTCTGTGAATTTTTTTTTTAAGTTTAAATACGAACAAAATAAGGCACGGATGTCACTTTTAATGCAATATGAGGCGAGATGTTGATGGTTTTATGTTGTTATATGTGTGTTTTAAGAGTCAAATGTTCGTATAAAGTTTGTTTTAAGTATTGGTTTAAGTGTTCCTGTTTACAACACTACGCAGCAGAGTTGCCAGGTTGGGTGGTTTCCCCTCATACTTTTTTCCAAGAAACTTGTAGGTAAACAGAATCATGATAGCCCAAGTTGATTACATTACTTTTTTAGCCAAAAAAATCATTCTTGGTGTTTTTTTATGGGGGGGGGGGCATTCTTGCAGGTTTTGGGCTGGAAAATCTAGCCGGCATTTGGCAACCCATGGGAATCGTGTCCTTCGATGTGAGTGGTTGAAGGAAGACGTCATTCAAGATAACGGACAAGTTTATCCAATCACATACAAGGATTTTTTTACAAGGCCCCGCCTTCTGAAATCCAACCTCTATGAAGACGACCCAGACCCATGTGAGAAGTGCATCGATCTACAAGGGTCTGGCGAGAGTCAGGCAAGTTGATTAGCCCATGTTTGTACAGGACTCATTTTACAAAAATGTTTCTCATGATGTATGCACACCTCCAGTATCCAATGAATGGCCAGATTTGTATGCCCTCTCCTTCAGAGTTGTAAGCATAATTTGCATCTGGGGTCATTGAGACAGGCTTCACCTGTTATAGCGCTCATTTTTCTCATTTCATTTGAAAGGAAAAAGACAATCTCACTGGCACAGCCTCCAGCAAAAAACAGAAATGACCAAAGCTCCAGCCAGGAATATAATTTAAACTCTTCTGCAAACTTTTCTAAATTGTATAAAGTATATGAATTAGAATTAGAAAGCATGTTTATGTTCATTTCATTCATTTTCTACCCCTTTATTAGTCCATTTCTGGGTCGGGGGGTGACAATGAGAGCTGCCACCTAATGCTCATAGCTAATGCACCCTCGCTGATCCTCCGGCAGGTGGTGGGTCTACATGAAGATGGCTGCTGCTCCGTCAGCAGTGACACAGCCTTGGTGTTTCAGCGGGAGCTTCAGGCAATGTGGGGTTAAGTGTCTTGCCCAGGGACACAATGACAGCAGATATTAGTTGGAGCTGTTGGTGTAGGTCATGTGGAGGGATCAAACCCACGACCTTCAAGTCCAAAGCCAATGCCATCCATCCATCCATTTTCTTCCGGTCTGGGTCTCCTAAAGCCAATGTTCTCAATTATTTTTTGTCAATGAACTGTCCAATTGTGTCAAATTAGGCAAAGCATTGTAATATTATTTCATAAAGCAGGCATCCACGAAGTTTCATTACTAAAAAATTTTACTGGATCTGACAATGATCAAATCAAATCATTGTTCTGTTTCCTGAAACAAACAAACAAATCCTGGTCAAAACAAAACAATATCCCCTGGTAAAGATAACATTTTCCCTCCACGTAGTCTCTTCATATTCAAGTCAGACACTTCATTTTTCCCATTATGAGTTAAACATTATGCACACTTCAACACCAGCAGCATACGACCCAAAGTGTAAATTTCAAAATGGGCAGATGTCTGAGTCATTTGTGCAGTAATTTGACAGCTTGCGTAAACCCGCGGCGGATCAGTTGACAGTGGCATGTGCTGGTGCTTATGCCATTCATATAGCAAATATGAAAGCTGTTGTATTCAGGCTGATTCTACACAGTACTGGTTTGAAACAAACTGTCTCATGGCGGACGGCGGGGTCAAAACTTTTGTGGAAGCAAGTTGACAACAATTTGTGAGTATAACGTCTCTTGAGAACTGTTATCCTTCCTCAAGTTTCTCACAATTTTTGGCTTGAATTCTGGCCCATTCCTCCACACAGAACTGAGTAAATGAATCAAGGTTGTTTATTGGGGTTCTGGCCACAATCTTTTTATACAGTTTTATACAGTACTTTTTATACAAGTATTATTCGGCCCCCTTGAACTTTTCAACATTTCGCCACATTTCAGGCTTCAAACATAAAGATATAAAATTTCAATTTTTTGTCATGAATCAACAACAAGTGGGACACAATTGTGAAGTGGAATGAAATTTATTGGATGATTTAAACTTTTTTAACAAATAAAAAACTGAAAAGTGGGGCGATCCAATGTTGTCCTAAATGACTGATGATGATAAATAGAATGCACCCATGTGTAATCAAGTCTCCGTATAAATGCACCTGCTCTTAGATAGTCTCAGGGTTCTGTTTAAAGCGCAGAGAGAACCATGAAGACAAAGGAACACACCAGGCAGGTCCGAGATACTGTTGTGGAGAAGTTTAAAGCCGGATTTGGATACAAA